CGCCGCGCCACCCTTACCCGGCGCCGCATCACGTGACGAGAGACGCCCGCGCCCCGCCCCCGCCCCGTCACGCGACAGGGGTGGCGGCCCGTGCGCCGCTGCGTCCCTTCCGCCTCGTCCCGTTTCTGCCCCCGCCGCCATGTCGGTCTTCCACGACGAGGTGGAGATCGAGGACTTCGAGTACGACGAGGAGACCGAGACCTACAGCTACCCGTGCCCCTGCGGGGACCGCTTCCTCATCACGCGGGTAACGGCAGGCGGGCTGGGACGAGGCGGCGGCGGGGAGGTGGGGGTGGGGGGGAACAGCGTTAGGCCGCGGTCCCGCCTCCGCTGGCCGCGGGTGTCTGTGGGTCGGGCAGGCGGCGGATTGGTGACTGCTTTCCCGGGGCTTTTGCAGGAGGACCTGGAGAACGGCGAGGACGTGGCCACCTGCCCCAGCTGCTCCCTGATCCTGCGCGTCATTTACGACCAGGTGGGGGGGGGGGGGCTGTCAGACGCGGTTGCGGCCTGCTTCCCCCCGCGCCGGGTCGGCCAAGTCGAGTTCCGGTTCGCTATCCCCTGAGGAGAGGAGGGCGCGGTGGCAGCTTTTAAAAGCCCCTGGTGAACGTGGGATAGGCTTGTGTGGGCTAGGGGTCCTTTTGCTTGTGACTACGGCTCCTGCCTCAACTCTTGTTTTTCTGGTCTCCTTCTCCTGCCGTGTTTGGGCTTTAAAACATGCCGGCTTGGTGAGCATGGGGTGGAACACAGACAAAGCTATCTCACTGGTGTTAAGATCTATCTATGACTCTAGTGGCCCTGTCAGCTAGCCTAGTAGTTTTTCTTATCTAGTAGGCATGTTATGGCTTTCACGTTTCGGGAGACAGATTCATACGCCTTATACCCCAGGCTAGAAAACAAAATGGTTACGTGGTGTTTTTTGAGGGAGATCCCAAATTAATGAAAATCAACTCTACTTGCTGTCTTCAGGAGCAGTTCATGCGTGATGAAGTCATTGCAGAACCTTTGACAAACAAGGAATTGATTAAGTGCTGATGGATACCTCATGAACTGTTGCTGCTTTAGAATAAGAAAGTATGGGGATGGCAACTGCAGAAAGAGACATGGTCGTCCTCCTGGAAGTGCTCGCTGCTGTGAGATACAAGTATGATTACTGGCTGCCTTCATAATTTGAATGAGAATTTGCTGAGACATCAAACACATGACTGGCTTTTGTTCAAAAGGGTTATGTATTTTAGAAAAATATATATAAGTTCCCATATGTATTTCAGAAGTTTTGAGAATTATGATCCTGACAGCAAGTCTATATACAGAAGAACTGTGTGAAGTTGTGGAATTACACCATTTATCTAGCAGTGGCTTCTTAGCCTGTGGAGAAAAGCAGGCTTCATGTGGGCATATAGCAGTGTGAAATGGCAGAGAGCTGAAATGTGGGGAGTCAAAATTTAGAAGTTCATAGGACACGATGCCATACAGAATTACAGTTTTGACACAGCGCGGTATCACCCAGGACGTGGGCTTGCGTACTTCCAGCCCATACTGAACATGGGGAAATATGAGACCCAGAACCAATGCTGCTGGTAAATTATTTTTACTACTCTAAGCACAAAGAAGGTGCAGTTGTATTTATATCTGCACTGGGGGCAACACCTGCGTTGGGGCAAATTTGTTTCTTAAATTGCAGTTGCTTTGAAACAGCTTTGGTAGCTGTTATCAAATGACTCTGATGTAATAGTGATACACTTTTGTGGGTGTTGTGTGAAATGAAACAAATGGAGTCAAACTTTTTTTATCCCCGCAAAGCTAGTAATATGCAAATGGACTTGAACTCGAAATGGATTGTAATTTACCCATATTTTCTCAACAACTTGTGGTTTGACTGTTGCAGGAAATATAAAATGGGCTGCAGTTCTTTGTGCCACTTGTAGTAGCACGTTTGCTGAATTTCTCGGCCTTCCTTTGTTAGGTTCTGTCACTTCCTGGATAGGGGATGCACACATCTCTCTCAATTAATAACAAGGGATTTTTTAGGGTAGAAAAGAGTTGGAAGAATATGTTCCAAAGTACATTGATTCCAGGACTACTTCTTGTATTACAAGCCACTGTATTTAAATACTTACTTTAAAATATAGTCATTCATGTGTTTTAGTAGGATTTGATGTCTGTGAAGTTAAATTGGGGGAAAAACACTTGTGTAGCATTTATATAGATATTTTGCTCCAGGCACTGAAGATAGGCAAGTCTTACTGAATTCTTGCGTTTAACTATTTTTGTTCTTACAACATTCTGTGAATGTTGAAGGTGAACATTCTAATTATTGTAAAAAAAAAAAAAAAAGGAAAGAAAAAGGAAAACTACCTTCAGTTAGAAATTTTGAATGCAGTATGTACAACCCAAAGTGTTTTCATGTCTAAACCAGAAGGTGGCACTCATGTTACTTTGATATCTGTGCTTCAAAAAAAAAAACCAACAAAAAAACTGTGGTACTTTGGTTAGCTAAATCTTCCTGAATATTTATTTTGACTATTTAAATAAAGATATTTAAGACTCCACCAGTGGTTATAAAGGGCCATTGCTTATTCTGTTTGTGCACCAGCCACAACAATTTCCAGAGATGTTGAGTTGCTGCTGCTGTGGTAATGACACTGGAATTTCTTCAGGTTAGTTCGTAAAAAGTGTTTCAGTCTATCAATAGATGCTATAAAGCAAATTTACAGGAACCCTATTTAAGTTCCTATTCAAATTTCTAGTGCATAAAAATCTTAAGGATTTTTCCACAAGTAGTCTACATAAGACTAAGTAGAGGAAGTTTCAAATGGCGCACCAGGGAATGTATACTCTGATGTAATTACATCAAAGTAAATTGCCAGGTGTAGCATCTCTAAAGGTGCCTAGATTTTACAGAAGTAATTTGACCAGATTTCATTTTATGATAAAGATGAAGTACTGTGATAAAGACTTCTATGAGGCTTGCATAGAGAATTATTTATACTCCATGCGGTTGAATTCCTACATGGTTATAAAAAGTGTTTATCAGTTGAATTTTACTTGGCATGTGCTGATAGAAGCTTTGAAGTGATTGTCTGTAGTGTTCCCCACTCATCTAAAATACAGGTAATGGCTTTTTTAACAGTAATGTTAGCAAAATTAATTACTTCATTACATCAGTTGCGACTGTCAGTGCTTAAGGTTTCATAATAAGCATATTCTTACCAAGTATGTATAGGATCCAAGTTGTATAATGCAATTTATATGCATGTTAAAATTATTTGGTTACATAGCATATATCAAAGCTTTAATGAAGTATGCATTATGTTTACTTTTCTGGAGATTTTTTACAGCATAACAACAGTAAATTGTTGTGGCTGACTTCGTCAGAAAACGATGTGGCCACATTTGCCTACTTGCTTTCAACTCAGTCTCATTGCAGTGTCTTGAGGATCTCAAGACTGTAATTGCTGTCCCCCAAAAAAGGAGGCAAAATAAGGATGGGTGTCATGTATCTCTTTTTCTGTTGCCTTTTGGGAATCTGAAAGAGATGTTTAAAAACTGTTGAGCTGTTTTGTTACTTTTCCTTCTGCTGTGCAGAGAGGAGTGGAGTTCTGTAGCAATGGAGTTCATCCTTCATGAAAGCTCAGTGATGCTAAAGCCAAAGAGCTGCCCACTTTTGTGTTTTGTTAACTTCTGAGAAGCTTTTGACTCCAGTGATTGCAGTCAGCTTTTCTAAAATTCTTCCATACTGTGTAATTCCAAAACACCAGTCAGGGCAATCTGAGTAACCCATCAGAAATGTTCCTCTTCAGGAATTCAGTCACGAGGTTTCTTCAGAGCATCACAGGCTATTGTGCAGCATGCAGGCTCCTTATGCATTACTTGTGTATTACATGTTCTTAGAAACCAATGGTTCACTTGTCTTCTAAAAAGGCAATTGTGTAGGACACAAAGAAGTCTTTTGCTTGCCGTTTGTATCTGACAAGCAGATTGATTGATTATGTGTTTGATTAGGTCCTTGACTGCACAGAGGAGTCCAGTGTGATGAAAACAGCATCATGTGAACGTTAATGGAATAAGTCATAATTACTAGAGATTGGAGAGGGTGGAACAATTTATGATCAATGTCAGATATTCAAGCTCTGAAATTGCTAACGCTGTTAAACACCACTAAACTCCTGTATGATATTGAAAACAGGCAATACGGTCTGTTGCCATAATTTTATGGGAAGAAATGGAAGATAATTTGCTCTTCATTAAACTGAAGAGGCTTAGCTTCTCAGAGCAGTCAGATTCTTGTTTGCATTTCAAAGAAACTTGCTGAGAAGGTCATGTGCTTTTGGCTCATTGTGCCTGTATATCAGTGGCATACACGATTAGTCTTGAATAGTTGCTCTAGAAGTCCATGACGGAGACCCTGGACCTCCAAGAGCTGAGGTCATTAGGCCAGCAATTTCCGCTGTTGCACTTGTTCCCATTTGTATGTATATTGGGGAAATGGTAATGTCCTAAAGGACCCTTATGTAAATACCTTGACATTTCTTCCCTCCATCATGATTTTTAATTTTGATTCTCAGCACCAGTCAAAAAAAAAAAAGACTTCCTTTGCAGAACATCGGTTTAATAAAGATCATTGCATAGATTACCAAGGCTATCTACCAAGAAGTAGATACCGATTAATATCAAATAAACTGTCAAAATTTCAGTTAAGAAAGTGAACTGACAGCTATGTATTGTCACTAAGAAAAACAGTTTCCACATACCCCATTTCCATCTCTCCTCTATTCCAGTTTAACATTCAGATTAGGCGAACTGTAGCGATAAGTATTCATTACAGTGAAAACTTCTTGAAATGTTTTTACAAATAGGATTTATCAAGATATTTAGCGTAGTAATGAATGTTTGCCATGATTTTCTCCTAGCACAGTTCTTTGTGGATTGCTTTCAGATATAGCTTTGATTCTGCTTCATGGTAACCTAAAATGCTAATATCTTAATGTCTCTCCATAGTAGCCGTGGCATGGAGGAGATGGGGAGGATCCCATGTAACCGTGGATGCTGGGCTCATCAGCCCTGAAACTGGTCAGACTTTTTGAGTTACAGAGGCAACAACTGACAGAAGCTGTGCCAAGCTGGAAAACAGCTGTCACAATGTCACCTGCGGTCAGGGAGGAAGTGGGTCAGAAGGCACTAACCAAAAGGGTAAAAGCTTAAGCAACCTGTCATCACTCCTTCCCACCCCTTGCTGTCACTGTTTTCGATCTGTTTGCATACCAGGTCACCTCTCCAAAATTCTTGGCAGCTCACCAGTCCAGCACAGGCTTCGCGTCATGTTGTGGAAGATCATTGCCATGCCATTTACCTCGCCACTGAGCACAGCCAGCCAAGAGGAGCGTGCTCCAAAGGCTAGGTGGTGTGCGAAGGTCAGCAGCAGAGCTGCCCCATCCGGCAGTGCCATCGCCCAGCCGGGCAGGCTGTCACCATAGCTGCTGTAAGAATTCTCTCTCTAAAACAACCAGTTGAACGACAAATTGGTATTTTCTGCATTAGGTTATGTGCTGCAATGTGCAAATCTAGCCCTTTAACCAGGTGAAGCAGGAAGTGGGGCTCTGAGAGAGTTCTTTAGAGCTCTACCTGTGTGGATGATTTTTGGAGCCAAAAGTTTGCTCCCAGTGTCCACCAATGTGCTCTTGAGACCGGAATAGCACCATGAGCCCTCGCTCTTTGCTTTCAATGTCCACCCTCATTCTTGGCATTGTCTTTCCTCTCCATAGAGGAGGGAGGAGCTCTGCCAGTATATGGTGATCTAAGGGAATAATTCAAAATACGTGTGATATTGGTGTTGGCAGCTGTGTAATTGAGAAGGAAACTTTTGGGACCCCCAAATAACAGGTCATTGTTGTGAAACATTTCCAAAAGAAGCAACTAGTCTAACTCATGAGTATTACATCTTATGCCTGCTCTCTTCCTTCTAGTGGAAAAGTAATTTAATTTGCATTCACAGAGTAGTAATTAATTGATGAATATTTGCCCCATATATATATATATATAGTTAACTAGGCATCTTTTCTTTTTACTCTTTTTCCATATTTTCAGTTGTTGTGTGATAATTACAGTGTAAGTTTGAGCATCCCATTTTCTTCTCAGAGTCACTTCCCTGACAGATTTTCAGTCAGCTCATTGGTGTTGCTGAAACCAAGGTTTCAAAATTTATGAGATGGGCCCCTGAAGATCCTAAGTTTGTCTTAAAATTGTAGTATTAAAACAGTATTTTAAATTCATTCTTTCACATTGAAGCTTTTGGGGATCATGTTTTCATTTTGCTACCAAGATTTACTTTTTTGTTGTGTGGTGGTCATTTTTTAAGTCAAAGCTAAGACCCTTATCATGTTGTTTGAATGCCAAAGCTGTTGTTACAGGGAAGGATCCAACTATCACAAGACTCAGGGTAAAATCAACAGGAGCTGGCAATACAATGACCCATAAGTCACTCCTTCAGTGCCCTTTTCAGGCTCTTTCTGCTCTGTGGCGAATGTTTTTACTTTGGTCTCAGTTGTAGTCCTTCTGGACAAGTCAGAAAACAGCTTTTTTGACACGTTCATTATTTCAAGTAAAAGTTATTCCAGTCCACCAGAACGCTAAATAGCTGCAATGTTTCTGAGCGTGATCTTTTTTGCATAGTCCGATGGTGTTTACACAAAATACAAGTTTCTGGTATAATCTTAGGAAGAATAACTATTTCACACTCCCTAAGAAAAAATTAAGTTTTTCAAGGGATGTGGTTTGTTTTGTTTTGTTTTGTTTTTTAAATACATTGAAATAGATACTGCTTAACAGTTCTCGTTTCTGCATATCTCTGATCGTAGGCCTGTTGCTTCTTTCTGTGGAAACTGTGTACCTGTGCAAAGCCAGTGCAAACAGCTTCTGGTATTTGTTTTATCTTTCAAACAATAGCGAGGCTGGTGAGCTCCAACTGAGTTTTGTATACTGCAGCATAAATTTATCAATTTGCATCACTCCATAAAAGAGATTAGAACTGATTTTGTAGCTTGTGACAGATTTTAAGATTAAAGCTTCATTTAATTAAATATAGAAAAAAGTAGATAAAATATGAAGCCTACATTATCCTACCTTTTCTCTCATTATAGTAGAATACATTTGCCTTCTTATGTTATGCAGAGGCTTCTGTGACCCCGAGTGCACTACACAGGTGTTAACCACATTGGTGGATTCTGGTGTACATCCCTTAGCTTGATAAGGCGAACCAGACTTCGAATTTAGGTATGGAAACAGTCCAGAGGCAGAGATACAGACAAGCCACCTGTCAGATTGCCGTTTCAGATCCAGTAAAGAAAGCTGCTGTCCTAGAGGCTGAGATGAACTGTGGCAGCAAAACAGGTAAGTGCATCAGAGCAGAACTGGCTGTCCCAGGGCACACCAAGGGTCTCCATGGTCCCATCCCATCCCCAGCACTGCCCTGCAGCTAACGAAGAGTCTACTAATAATGACCAGGGCAAGCATTTGGGGGTACTTCCCTAGAACACCCTACCACACAGTTTGTAAGCCACGGACTTCTTAAGACTGATGCATTTGTGTTTAATAGCATAAATAAATGAATTGTCTAATCACTTTTTGAATTCACATCACAACTTAAAATCCACTGCATCCC